TCTTTTTTGCAGATGATGCGACCTTCACTTTAAAAGATGAAGCGTCTTTAGAACGTTGTTTGGACTTTTTAAATAAGTATGGGAATTTTYCGTCATTRCAAATTAATCTAGTAAAATCAGCGTACGTTGTCGAAGTGATTCTAGAAAATGTCACTTCTTGTTTGATWAATCAAWGCACCATWAGTKTAGCTATGCCCTTCTCCGCAATTTGACAGCTTAAAACTGAAAAATTAAATTAAAAAAGCCCAAAAATGACAAATAATTGATTCGATTTTTTCCTGGACATTCTGTGCGACCAAAAGAATTGTCATTGCCGTTGTGTGATATAAGTGATAGTGATGATGATAACTGATGGTATTATTACTTTTTTTATCAGGATCAAATACACACAAAAGAAAAGAATGGTATGTCGTATCTAGTCAATGATAATCCACCATGGTATCTCTGTATGTTATTGGGCTTTCAGGTCAGTGATATTTTTATTTATAAAAATAAATGACCTTCACTTACATGGATCGATAAGAATTTTTTTCAGTAGACATGTTAAAGTATTTACATTAGTAAGATAAACTTTTTTACAAACAWTTTGGTCTATGACCACGGACMTTCTTATCCTTAGTGTGATATCCGTGAATTTGCACGTGATGCACTTAGGTCTTGGTCGATATCTCACACCGAAATGTCTCAAAAAAGATAAATTTAGTCAGTGAAAATGCAATTTACGTAAGTTCATTTGTTTTAATCTACAGCATTACCTGACCATGTTTGGGTCTACTGTGGCAGTTCCTTTTGTCATTGCTCGACCCATGTGCTTCAGTGATAACCCCTTGGTGCTTAGTGAAATCATCAGTACGATATTCTTTATATCTGGAGTGTGTACACTAATACAGACTTGCGTCGGCACAAGGTAGAAATAGACATTAAAGCGGAGGTCCCGCACCCYKKTCTTCTCTTTACTGCATTTGGGGGGAGGGATGTAAAAGAACCACTGACGATGTAATAAATCCYGGTTGTGACTGGCTTCATCTCCGTCTTAGGTTGAACTTTCAATTGGGATCCCTGCTCTGTTGTGTTTCTCTCACCAGCCATTGGAGAAAGCAATAAACTGTTATAGCCTTCAAATTGCACGATTCCGAAGTTGATAACAATTTTATTAATCTTTCTTCTGAGTACTTGTTCACGACAATCTTTACAAGCTCCTTGTCCGAGGGTTGTCCAATACTACTTATCTCTTGCTATAATCCTATATCATACGTCATACATGACGACAAACTTGAGGTCATCACAAAACCAATTACTTATTTTATCTTTTTGCATGATTGATGATTTTTTATCTGTTTGGCAGGCTTCCAGTTGTACAAGGYGCTACATTTGCTTTTCTTGGACCAACGTTTGCTATTCTATCTCTGGATAAGTGGAAATGCCCTCCTGCAGGTAACGTGYCTCACCTTTTTTCGAAATTTGGCTCACTTACCGTTGCGTTAGATTCACAACCCATTTCAAGAACTGCGGTAACATGGTATTCTAGCTGAAAATRTCGCACCATCGTATGATACGGTGCAATGCCCTGCAACGGCATAGTTAGCAATCGAAAGGCACGTTTTACGAGAAAAGGAAATCTCCAAAGGAAATCAAGAAGAAATTTGACAATAATTTCATCTAACAAGAACTGATTGCGCATCCTAGCTAGAGTAACCTTCTAATCATAAGGAAGCTAACTAGAGCGTATTCCGTATTCTTAACGAGTCAGCAACTCGGCTGAAAAAAGTTTTATTAACACATTTATGTTTCTTTAAGCTTCTAACTCAACCAACATTACCGATGACCCTGATGCATGGAAATCAAGAATGAATGAGGTACTAGCATCTTATCATTAACTAAACTTCTATTGACCTAATGATGTTATTGAGATGGCAACGAATATTTGTTTATAGTAATTTGGTCTAATCATAAATCTACTGAAATTATAGACCCATTATTACTTAATGGTTTACTACGCGTTCTCATCATTATCATCATCGTTATCATCCATCAAAATCATCATTATCATCAAATTATAGACCCATTATTACTTAATATTTGGTTTACTCACGCGTTCTTGGATTGGTCGAGAACCGTGTATTATTTAAGTGCACACAGATAACGCAATAGTCGAGTTT